AAAATGAATTTTTGTCAGATAATTTATAACAAAAGCGAAAAAAAAATTTTGCTGACCCAGCAACCTGAATCTTTTTTGCTTTTGCTATGAGAAAAAAAAAAGAAATTATATGTTTTTTAATTAAGAAAATCAAATTATCTTAAAAAAATTCACCCTGCTGACCCCAGCAACCAAAATGAATTTTTGTCAGATAATTTATAACAAAAGCGAAAAAAAAATTTTGCTGACCCAGCAACCTGAATCTTTTTTTGCTTTTGCTATAAGAAAAAAAAGAAATTATATAATTAAACTATTTTAAGAGGATAATAAAAAGTAAAAAAAAATAATTTGTTGGCCCAGCATCTTGAGTATTTATTTTACTCTTATTACCAGAAAGGAATGTGAATTATAAAAAAATTGTATGTATCAATCTTCAAATCTACCAAATAATTTTAAAAGTTGTTCTGGTGTAACATATCCTTGCTTAAATGGGAGTTCATGAATACAGTTTCCACAATCTTTCGCAGCATGGCCAATGCACCAACATTTAACGCAGGAACCTAAATATGATGTTTCAATATTTGGACAAAACTTAAACGTATGACCATAATAAGAACATACATAGCAAGCTTCCTTGTATATACCAAAAGGAGCAATCCAGTTGTTGTTTATCTTTGACAAAGCTACGCCTTTTGCGGTATAAATTATGTCTTTTGAATTTGTATGATGTTTTGATAAATTATTAATCACTGCAACTTGATCTTGAAGAATTGATATGATAATCTTAGGTACTTGTACGTAGTCATTATCTATAACATCAAAGTCATTCGTCATTGTTTTATACGCTTGTTGGTAGTTGTATTTGGCCTATTTAATATACATAAAAAGAAAAAGTTTATACAACACGTTAGCCTATTACACTCAAAGCATTTATATTTGATAAAACTAAAGGTGTAGGACTGACTGTATGAGCAACGGTACTGGTACGCGATATTTCACTTAAAAAAGATTGTAAAGTATTCTTTTGAGAGTATTTGTGGTAGGAGAATGTGGTAAATTTGCTTCTTTAAAATGTCAGCTGTAAGCGTATATATTATAAACGAAGTTGTTAAAGTTAGTCCAGGAAATAAACCTTCGAACTTGTCGTTATATTTTTGTGCATATTACCTTTTGAAATAGAAGTTGAGAAGTTAAACAAAAATTTTGTTTTTGCTTAAAAAATTTTTTTTGGTTTGGGAATTGAGATGTATATATACTAAAAAAAACGCGAGTTTTGCAAGTGCAAGTGAACATCACGTAATTAAAAACTAAATTTAGTAATAAGAATTGCTCCAGTAAAGTGGTAAGAACAATCGCATATTCATCGATCAGGAGATTCAATATGTTATACTTTAAAAAAATTTTTCTCGGTAAACCCCTGATCCAGGTCGAAACAGGTTTTTTTTTTTTTTTTTTTTAAAAAAAAAAAGTATCATTTCCTAATAAGTAAAAATTAACAAACGTCAAATTCATCAAAATAATGGCGAAATATGGAACAGGTAACCGCGAATTTTAAGAAAACATGTGTTGCCTTAAGAACAAAAAATAAATCAAAAAAAAAAAAGGTTCGGTTAAAATAATATTTAGAGAATTTTTATAAAATTTATAGGCGACGTAAAAAATTCTCACAAACACGAGATCATTCTGTCGGAGGTTCCTTTTTTTTTATTAGGGAACGGGAGACCATTGTTAACTGGAACGATCCCCTGATCCAGGTTTAAACAGGTTTTTTTTTTTTTTTTTTTTTTTTTTTTTTTTTTAAAAAAAAAAAGTAAAGTAAAAATTAACAAACGGAAAACGTGTTGCCTTAAGAACAAAAAATAAATCAGAAAAAAAAAAAAAAAGGTTCGGTTAAAATAATATTTAGAGAATTTTATAAAATTTATAGGCGACGTAAAGAATTCTCATTGATGACTCACAAACACGAGATCATTCTGTCGGAGGTTCCTTTTTTTTTTATTAGGGAACGGGAGACCATTGTTAACTGGAACGATCCCCTGATCCAGGTTTAAACAGGTTTTTTTTT